AAGCAGATGATTGTAGGAAATTTTGTTAATACTTCATTGATATTGAGAATATCAAACGTTACATGCAGTATATTGACATCGAGAATATAGAAGGTGGACAGACGATTAGGTAATATACATATAAATAGCATGAGTTGAGCGTGATGCAGACAGACAGACAGATAATAGCAAAATAGAATAAAGTTGGTGTGAAGTTAACTACCATGGAAGTGATAGGCTTAACATTTAATATGTTAAAGTGAGAATAATAGTAGAAAAGAAGGTAAGAAAAATAATTTCATTCCATCAAAGCGTGATTCTAAAGTAATTAAATCAGCGTGAGTGCACTTTGACAAAAGGAGCAGAGGATCTTCAAACAAAATAAGACCAAATGGTTACGGTAACTCGTGCCACAATTGTAAGTGAACCACAGAGAATACTAGTGCGATAGAAATAGAGAAGATGGTTCGGCTTGTCGACGGAAATTCTAAAGTAATTGAATAGGCTTAAGTGGATATTTGACAATAAGGAGAAAATTACATATATAGTATTTATGATATGTCCATAATATGTATAGTGTTGGAGGATTTATTGTACATACATTAACTTGTTCTGAATATATATATTATTTTGAAAACAAGTAAAAGTGCGTGCTGTTTATTCATCATTGAATTTATCGCTAACAATTCACAGACACCTAATGTAGAAGAATCCTAAGCCCAACAATTGGCGAAGATCAGATTTTTAAATTCTGACAATATATAATGTGTATACTACAACAAATATTAGTCATACTCAGTAATACCACTAGTACTAGAAATTGTGATATAATCTTTTTTTTTTTTTCCAAACATCTGATTAGATAGCAATGAAAATAAGCTTAATGTTAGTTCTGTTCAATCTAGTTTACCTTTTTATAAAGTGATCGCTACATACAGGAGCATGATGAGAATTGAAACCCATTTTACACATTTTTTGTAATCAATTTCTTACCGTTTACCTTTTTTGATTTAACTACTTAAAAGCCGAGAATCATACTTTAAACAAACTTGGTTATTTCTGACTTAGGTCATGCAAGAAACTATTATTAGAATACACCTGAACTTGTGGTACATCTACTATACTGTTACGTCTCCGTTTGTTAATTAACTTTCCGTAACTTTGTTCCAACGAAACTTTAACGACACAAGTCTTTACTTAATAAAAACTGGTTTATTATTTCCGAATACAACTTTATCGATACATTCAACTTCAACAATCGCGTTATAACAAACTATAATAACGAACGAACGTTAACTACAACAATACGTCTCTCTCTGACTGCAGTTCAATTACTCACTATCTACACCTTACCGCGTCACGTTGTCCCCTCCTATATATATATCCGCCCACCCTATACATTTTTAATGGTAAAGACACGCACAGTTTAAGAAGAAATATTTTTGCTGTTTATTTAAACGAAATTCCAGCCATTTTTCCTTAAATAGAAAAATTAATGTCATTTTTACAGATAAACAGAATCTTTGGTAACAACATGTTCAAACTTACAAAGTAGTAAAATAAAAAACATTATAGTTGGCACACCTATTTTAAAAACAGGATCAGAGAGCTTTTCAAACTTCAATAATATCTTTCTCATCTTTTCTTTTTTTTTTGTCAAATTCTGGTGCTAGGTGATCTCAATATCTGAAAAAAAAACAACATTTGCAGATAGTTTTATCTACAAGACTCCATGGAATACAGAATCAATTAGATATTTTTACTTGTGTATTTTTTTTTCATAAAAGATTCTAGCATTATAAATGAGTCAAAAAGACTCATGAAAATTGTTTTCAGAATGGCTTTGTGGTGTCTAAACCAGTCAAGTTCAAGAAAAAAGGCTAAAATTTTACATGGACAAACACGTGTTTATATTCTGCAAGTAATAATTTGAAATATGTTACTTTGATTTGAAGGAAACACAAAATGGTTACAACTATCATTTTACACAAAACTAATATACACTCATACATATACTTTAGTAAATATTTTCATTCAAATAAACTATGTGTGTGATCTTTAAGAGATTTTATGATTGCGTGAATTACTTAATTTCAAAAAAGAACAGTCTATCTTAGCTGATTTATGTACAATATGGTAAAATGATTTTCTCAATACTTCAACAGTGGTTAGAATAGTGTATACTAGAAACCAAGGGAGATGCTTATGGTATAATTTTAGATATGACTTTGTTTATGATACTGTCAAAGCAAATTTCATAATAAATAGCCAGTATAATTTTACGTGTTTTCAATTACATCTTTAAACATTTTCTAAAAAAAGTTATCAACCAAGTCAAAAATGAAGAAAGAGCTTTCAAGACGTTTAATAATATGCCACAGCTGCACAAAAAAAATAATATTTGATTACAAGGTACAATTTGAAGATCATGAGGAAATACTGAAACTAATAATACAACAACAAAAGTGATACAACCCACCTCTACTGTGAAAAAAATGTCACTGTTCTGGAAACATTGCTGCACATAATTCAAAGTTTTTCTTATTGAGTGCATAAGATTTGGCTGGAATGTAAGTTGTGCGCTTTTTTAGGATTCGTTTTTGATGTTGAGTTCCAGGAAGGCTTTGGTACTTCCGAACATTGTGTCTAGAAAAAAAAAAGAGAAAAGTAACAAATTACACATGTGAAAACTATGTAACAAAAGAAAAATCACATATGCCAAAACCTTGGTTTTCTGGCATCATCTTTTCAGTTAACTTTTGTAAACAATACACATGAGCAATGTTTAAAGGTAAAGATGCTAAGTAGACCTTTCATCCCTATTACAAATGACTTATTATAAAAGATCAGTACCATGCAAAACACCCAGAAAATAGTTTAGGCATCTTTTCATCACTTTAAAGTACAGTTAAATTAACTATTACAGTTATCTTAACTTTAATCAACTTTTACCAAACTCAAATCGAAATTTGTTATGTGACCTTAAAAAGTTGTCAACTGTGATCATTCTGACCATTATCTTTAAAGACCAAACTATCCTCTTTGTTTGTACATATATATATCAGATTATCATAGTTTTGATATTTAAAACCATGACAATGTTTATATATTTGAGAGAATGTTTTTAAAGGTATATTGGCAAGTAAAATTTTAACTGTAGGTCCAATCCTCTCGCACCGATCCTTTGTCTGAAAGCTGTGACTAGTCAGTAATGTGACAAAACCAATATTATTCCACTATAATATAAAAGAAAGATTTTTCTTTTTCAGCTTTTCTCTTTAGCAGGGGTCACATGTGTTGCCCTCCTCATATCATCTTTATTCATTGCCAGGTCTTCAGCAATTCCTTTCTCATTTATGTCTTCTTTAATTCCATTTTTCCAACACTTTACTGGCCTTTCCTGTTTTCTCTTGCTGGCTACTGGCAGCTCTAATGCTCTCCTTATTGCTTGTTCTTCTTCTCTTCTTGTGGTCAAACCATCTCAGTCTCACTTCTATTATCTTTCCTCTATTCTACAGACTCCTGCAATTTCCTTAATCGTTCTCTTCTCTTTCAATGACACTCCCAACAGCCTTCTTCTTCAGGGTCCAGGTCTTTGCTCTGTAGAGGGGCTAAAATCTAATCATGGTTGTATACACTTTGGCATTCAGTGCCCTTGGTAACCTTTTTTCAGAGATGACTCTGAATACTTCTTTCCATTTCCTCCAACCTGCCTGGATTCTACCTCTCACAGGTTTCTCACTTCTACTTTGGATTATACTCCCAAAGAAAGTACTTAATGTCTTCTAACTGTTCCAGCAGCTTCCCATTTACATCTGCAATCTTAACCATCTCCTTCATACCTCTTCCACTCACCATGACTTCTGTTTTTGTGGCATTCACTTTCAAGCCTCTTCTTTCCATACTTTTCTGCCACACTTAAACTTGTGTTTGACTCCTGCTCTCTTTCAGCTGTTAGGACAAGGCCATCAATGAATAATAGTTCCCACAGGGATACCTTATGGTACCCCTTACTCAAGACATTGATGACAATGATGAACAGCAGAGGCTAATAGCTGACCCTTGATGCAGACCAATGTTTACTTCAGTCTTGTCCACTTCTCCATATACCATTTTCACGATTGTTGTTGCTCCTTCTTTGGGCACTCCTTTCTTTTGGAGGCACTAGTATACTAATTATTGTGGCACGCTGTCATATGCTTTCTCCAAATCTACAAATGCGTGGTGTAACTTCTTGTTTCCTTTAAAGTACTTCTTGTGCAACTACTACAGAATGAAAATTGCATCTGTTGTTCCTCTCCCAGGCTGAAACACAAAGTGTATTTCATTGGTGTCTACGAGTTCCTTTATTCTTTTTTCCAGTACTTCCCTTTTTTCTTTTCAGCAGATGCTCCACCAGTTTTATTCCTCCACAGTTTTCACACTCAAGGGCATATCCTTTCTGATGGGTATCAATATAAAAGAAAGATTGACATGTAAGATATGAGCTCATAATCTTTTTAAACCTATTTGTTACTAAACATACAAAACAATTCTAAGTGTACAATGTAAATCACTTACTTAAATAAAAATTGTGGCTGAGTCATCTGAATGCACATTTTCAGTGGACTTCCATAAAAATCTGTGTCTGTCAGAAAATCTATGTAAGATTCACCACCAAGAGAGAATTCCACTCGACTTTTAGCAAAAGCTGTATCTACACTAGCTGATCCTTGTAATAGCAAAGCCCCACTAGAATAAAAGAGGAGAAAAAATGATCTACATTGAATACCCCTTGCATTGATACAGAGGGTTGAGTATGTTATATTAAAAATATTCTGAATATGTAAATCACCAAGTCGTGACAACCATAGCCAATGTAGCCTCAATGAAATGGCATGTTCCGGATTTACATTTTGACACTGTTTGGCATTTCATGGGTAGTGTGATACCACTAAAAATTTATTGCTTTTGGGAAGGGTGAATAACACCCCTTTCCAATGCAAAATATTTGTTCACTCAGATCATAAAGATGTGTTGACATCAGGTATTTAGAATTTCCAAAATGGAGATATCCCTTGTACTTAATGGCATTGGAAAACAAAGGAATATGGATTAAACTTGGGACCCAGAATCATCCAAAAAAAATTAGCAATAATCATACCCCAGCTGTGGTAAATGTAGCATCTTTTAATAGGAGAGAATCCTGAACACAAAGATCAACAGCAAAAGAAGTCTACATGCCCCAAGTAACAGTAAAAAATTCAATCAAGACAGATCTCCATCTGAAAATGCAAGAAATGTTATGTGTATACAAGTTGCTTCCATGGCAAATCTGTTCAAATGTTGCATACCTCAAGCACCTGAAGAATGAAGTGGGTATTCATGCTATTCCAAATGAAGATATACCAGTTAGAATGCCAGATGCAGCACCTATGAATTTCTGTTCTATTGGACAATTGCATTATGTGCTAGAAAACTGTCATCTTTATATCTAAGATGGATTATGGAATGAAGGAAGGAATGGTATGCTCTGAACATGACATCCTTACAAAAAACCTTTTTAAGAGGAACTATCAAGATGCATAGTCATCAGATAGAGCATGACTGGATGTGGGGACATAGACTGTAATGACATGGCAAGATTCAAATCATTAAAATATAACATACTCATACTCTTCATAACATCATTAGAATGAAACAACTTTATCAAAGTAAATCATACAAACATTTAAAAGGCAAACACTAAATGTTTATTAAGAAGCTCATATATCATACTGTCTATCAATTCAAGACAAAGTGAATGAAACATAAAACTATCAAGATAAATCAAAATAATAACACTGTGTAAATGATATGAATTAGAAGCATATTTTATAGTTATAGAAGTATAGTTTATGAATACTTTCAAAAAGGAAGCTTATAAGTTTTTTCTATATATTCATATCTTTGACTTGACACCCTCTTTATTAGCTCTCTGAATATCACTTCAGAGCAGAGATAAAGCCATCTCCACCCTTTTAATACTGTCAGAAATTCAGACCATAGTTCAATCAAACCTTTTGTTCATGATGTTTTGAAAAGTGTTGCATATTTCATATTACACAATTATCCGAGCAGTTAGTTTAATGCATGAACAACAACAAAAAATCTCACACTTACCTGCTAGTAACAACAGACTGGGAGTTTCTATTCCATAGAGAGATCTGCACTGAACCAGATAAGTCAATACTCAAAACACCTCTTAAAGATACATCTACAACAAGCCCATTCTGCAAGACAACGTACTGAGACTGGTCCATAATCAACAGATTTGCCTTCACAAGAGAAAAATAAATTATGAAGTTAAACAATAATACAGTATGTCCCCCATAAGTAATGGGAACCAGTAGGTGTATTGAAAATTGTTTTTATTTTCTACATAGAAAACATCTTACTTTTTATTACTACTTTTTTTAATTTAAGAAGTTTTCTAATGTTCAAGGTTGCAATATATTTGGGTTTAATGGTATTTAATAACTATCCAATTTTGTTTAATACTGATGTAAAATGTTTGTTTAGATGAAACACTGATTTTCATTTATCAACACTTATTTCTGCAGAAGCAGCTTTTTTGTAATGTTGTTATTACCTGGAGGGCTGGTGTTCGCTCACTTCCAGCTCCAGACCATACCAGACCCATCAACTCTCCTGTTCCAGTAAAGAAAGTGTAAGGTCTAAGCCCTACTCCCAACACATTCAATTCCATGCCAGCAGTAGCTTCCTCAGATTCTTCAGACTGAACTTCTTCCTCTCCAGCAAAACTTCCTAAGCCTCCTGCAAACAGCCCCACCTGTTGGCAGATACACTTACTTTTAGCTTTAATAGTTGTAAAAAGCAGAGAAGTAAAGAGCAATAGAGATTAATTTCAAATTAATACATATTTAACAATACAATCATGAGATGTGAATAGAAAGATTAGGTGCAATTTGTAGCAAAAAAAGACAAATGTACAGAGGATGAGAACAGACAGCACAGTGAAAAAGATATACAGAATACTACAGAAAATCTAACAATAATATAAATATAATGGACCACACAGCAAGAAAGATGTTCAGCATGATGCAGATGTAATGATCAATATAGTAACTCAGAAGTAAGGAGTTGTGCAGTAAGTCATTGTACAGAGCAGTAAAAATAAAGTTAACAAAGAATAAGATGGGTAAATGTAATGGATAGTACAGTGAGAAGTGTAATGGATTCCCCAGATTAATTGGATCAAGTTGGAAAATATGAAGTATACAAGGCCTTCCACCAAATTTGGGGCCAAAAATAAGGGAATTTACTTGAAAATATGAGGATAATATAGGTTATATTATTTAGAAAAGACAGCAAAAAAAATTCTTTCCTTTATACAAAAGTTCTTCTAATTAATAATGTTTGGATACCTTACTCAGTAACATTTTCACATGGCAACTCATATTTCAACTATCATGACCACTGAAGAAGAGTGGTCACAGATGAATGATAGAAATATATATATTTGGAGGACCTAAAACTTGTGTGTCTAACTTACAGTTGCAATAATACTAAACTAGTCCCAACTGTAAAAAGCCTTCTGTCTTTAAGAAAAACTAGCTAAGTTTAATTTCATCTGCCCAAGTATATTTCAATAGATAATAATTTATTCTTACTCATAACAAAATAGTAATTAATTATATCATTTCAAGTGCACAAGTTAAAAACAAGTACAAATATGGTGCACTACAACTTTTGAATTCTCATCTGGTGATGAACACACAATTAATCCCCAGTTCTAGGAAAAGAACAAGTGTAAGAAACGTTTAAAATGTATGACAGGACACTCAATACTTTTATCATTTTGTGACATTGTGTGTATTTAATTTAAAGTATTGTTACTTTAGTCAACTTTTGACAAGTGTTCAAAAAAATTAGTTTTATATCAAAATAATTTCAGATTCAAAATCTAGATTTCTGACCAAAACTATGAATCTAAGCAATTTCATAATAACAAGTCATGAAAAAATTATACATTTTGTGCTGAAACTTTATAATAATTATCGTAGTGTAAAACTGTGAAATTGAATGTCACAAGAAGCACCAAATAAATACATGAACTATAGTATCATTATTGTTAAAAACATGTTTCGTGGGAAAATATCAATGATAGGGACTTAAGCCAAATGAGCTATCTTAGGCTAAAATATAGGAATTATAATTCAATATATGGCTGGTGGGAGGACCAGCATACTTACATATGGAAATATAAGATATATAAATAGAATGAAAAACACTCCACAATTTTGATAAGGTAAAATATTGTAAAATTAATGAAAGTTCCACAAAAACGGTTTATTGAACCATGATTACAGTAACCTGTAGCTTTATAAGTTTATTGTGTAAAAGTAAAATTCTATGAAATCAAACTTACAGAAAAAATTTTAAGTTGATTCTTTTTATTTGAGATGACCACATCAAAAGAGCTGGTTTTTAACATTCCACTTGGTCCAAGCTCCAAGTTGACAGAGTATGTAGCATTAACATCTCTGTTAGCTGCAGGAGAAGCAAAACATGTACATACTTAACTTTGTTTTATCGACCAACCTTTTAACAGTCATGTAATAATGAAACTATACATACTATAACTTTTAATGTATTAAGTGTATACTCACAAAATTTGGCAAGCATTTATTAAATATTACTTGTACACAAAAATTCAAATTTTTAATTAAGTATTTTTATTAAAGATTTGTCTGTGAATTTATGAAATCAGAGTCTCAGGTCCTGACTTAAAATAATTTTTTCATTTTACAGTTTTTAAATTTCATTTGCATAACTTCTTAAATGAATATCAAGTTTGTTTTTTTCCAGTAAAACTTTATATTTTATCTGTTATTTTCTCTACCCTAGCACTATATACAGGCCTGGTCCACTTGACTGACTTTGTAACCACCACAGAAAAATATCAAATAAATCTAAATTACCCTTTTTTCTTTCTAGAATGGCTGCATATTGTTACAGACGATTACACACTCTTTTATAGCCAATACAAATCAAATATAGTCATACAGATTTATTCATTTACTGCCACTTAGATTAGTGCCGAAACAAATTATCCCAGCAAGGAAGCTTTGGTGAGCACATCATCAGTTATCAGCATGCTTGGTCAAATTACAACATGCAGTGCTTACAAGACATGCTATCAAGTATTTATTGTTTAATTTTTCTTATCTAATCTAATAAGTTTCAAATTTTTCCACTTTAGTTACTTTTATCACAAAAAAGATATGCATAAAAACAAGAAATTTACTACTTACATGTGGGTCTTGTACTTTTTTGCTCTCAAAGTCTCAATGAAAGTTAACTCTATTTTTTGTTTTGTTAGTACTTTGTTTATTTATTTAAAATATACAATTTAGAAGAGACAACAAAAAACAACAATCTTCTAAAACTATTGTAATTTAATTGGCTTTTTAACTAAGCTATATGTGAGGTAAAGTATTTTCTTTACTTAGTCGAAATGATCTCGGCAATAGCAAACAATGAAATTGATGCAGAATAACTCAAAACTTATCTTGAGAATGAGCAGAGATTTTATTAATTACTTTTGTTTCATATTAAAATTATAATTTTGAGGAGGTTTATAAAAGTCTAAGGAAAACAATGTTACAACAGCAATGTAACTATAATTGATAATTATATCATTTTGTAAAACAGATATGAATTCTTACTTACCTATGAATATTTGGTGAATGAAGTCGAGGCACCACTTTGGGATAAAATATTATAATTTCCAAATTCAGAGTTTTTAAGTAATTTTTCCACTTTTGACCTATATAATGTAAATAGAAAAGTCCATTTAAACATTTATTTCCTAATTATAGTTTACACTATTTACTGTAAAATGTAATCAAACATTACATTAGGGATTTTGTTTTCCATTTACAATATTTTGAAAACATGTTTATCCAGTTCTAACTGAACAATTAATTTTTATTTAGTTTACTTATAATAATGTACTAATTCATAAATAAGACATAACAAGGTAAAATCACACAGATAACTGAAATTACAAATATCTGTCATTTCTTTCTCCCTTATTTTATTATAGAAAAAAGCTACCCAAACATCTTGTACTTTTCAAGCTTTTCACTGCAAAACCAAAAAGTGACATTTTTGTACAGCAAAACCATTTTCCCATTTCTCTGGTGGAAAGTGTGATTAAAATTTACCTAAAGAGAGGTTACATGCCTACAATCAAAACTTTCAATGCACTAGTTATTTATATCTATGATGTTGCCTTTTACTAGATCACATGATTTTACTTTTAAAAAGAAAATAAAGAAATTGCTACAAAGTATTATGTTTATGTAATCCTGTACAATACAAAGATAAGATTCTACACTTAGAGGCTCTTCCACTGTGTTTAAGTTCACCTGTACATGCTGTATGTATATACCTGTCAGGTCAACAATTAAACTGCTATATGTATTAGGTCTTCAAGAAATT